GCGCTTCCGGAACGCGCGCTCCCAAATTGGCCGCGCGGAGAAAGGGAAGGCGGAAGCGGAGGGGGAAAGCGCGCCGGCGCCCGCACGGGGGGGCGAGCAGCCTTGGGCCACGCCGTGCACATATCCCGTTTCACACTCCGAGATTAGAGCATTTCCACCCGAACCATGTGGAAGGGCTCGTCTCACGTCCCCCTTTTGTTTATGCCTGTCTCCTTCAGAGGCGTATCTAGTATGGCAGAGATGGCACGTGCCATGGACACCCCTCACAAGGGGTGCGGTTTAGAGTATACCTGCTAAAACAAATAACGACAACCCTAATTTGAAGTATCTAGACGGAGACGCAAATTCAATGCTTGCCATGGGCGCCTAAAAATCTAGATCCGCCTCTAGTCTCCTTCCAAGCTCGTAAAAGTGCTACCGTGGATTGGAAATCTGAACCAATACTTTACCAAATGGGCTCTTTGGTTGATCATTAATCACCAGAACTTCCGCACCCAGTTATTATCAAGGGCAGGAAAACCTTCAAGTAATAACATTCAAAAGCCATTAAGGAATTAAATTATGTTTTTTGAAAAGAGCTCCCTGTATCAGAGGGTAAAAAATTCCCTGGACGCATATATGACTTTTATCTTGGGACAAGAGCTGAAATATTTAAAATGGTTTTTAGTATGTTTGTTTGTGGGAGTTTTCGCGTTTCAAGATCTCGACCGTAATCCGAAAAATTAGAGCACAAGCAAGTAACACATTTGAAACTTCCGTACATGCCGGACATTTTCGAGGCTCTCTATTTGTATTCTAGTTGTGTTTCTATTTGTATTCTATATTGGTTTTGTACGAGCAGCTGGATACATAGACAAGTAAAAATGTAGATGTGTAGATTTATTTTAAAGAGTTCAGCCCATTGTAATCATTTATAAAAACATGAGTAGTAAAAAACTTTAAAACAGAAACAAAAGATTTGAGGGAGGTAACAAATATTAATAGTCGTTAAACTTTTGTAATATATTGTAAAAAATATTTTAAATGTTTGTAATGAAAGGAGGATTATGGTATTAAAGGTGTGGTTTGGTGTGACTAAAAATATAACAATTATTTTCAAAAGAAATAGAGAAACAAACCAGAGTTTAAAACATTATGCAAGGAGATATCTGGAGTTGCAGAAGAAAGAAATCAGACACGAGTGAAGAGAACAGGAATGTATCGGACGTTAATGGGTCATTCCTTGCGGACGGAAAACAATGAAGGATTTTTATGCCCTAAAAATCTTCAAATATGCTTTTTTTTAAATATGAATTTTTGACTTCAAAATTCTGAAATATGCTCTTTAATATTCATTTATGACCTAAATATTCTGAAATATTCACTTTAATAGCCAATTGAAATTAACAATATTTCATTTTTAGTATAAACCTTTCTTGATAAAATTCAGAAGAGGCATTATTGGAATGATAAGATATATTTTGGTGCAAACGTAATATAACGTAGCTTTCTTCTTAGGAGAAATAATTGAAGTAAATATGCACGATAATGAAGTACATTATAGGTCTTCTTTTTTTCTGCTTGATTTGAAAAAAATGATACCAAAAAATATCCTACATTTACACGAGTATTTTATCGTCTATAGAAAAGAAGAAAAATCATCTTTCTAATCAATGAACGCGCACAAGTAAATAGATTCGATGAAACTATGAAACGTCTTAGAGATAGTCCTACATTTCTATTTTAACGAAAAATGCAAAATATGCTCCAATAATTACACGAATATGCACCAACAGGAAAAATAGGCTATATGTACTATCATATTTCTCTACATAGCATCCAATTGTAAACAAATGTCAAGATTTTCATTTAGCCATGTCCTGAAGCAACGAACAAAAATAAGCAAAATCACAGAAATCCGCTCCTGGTGATTAATGTGTGTTAAACGCTTATTAATATTTGTTAAATATTTAACTCATTTAAAATGATTTTAAAAGATATACAGTCATTTCTTTCAATTTATTGAAGTTAGCAATCACAATTACCAATTGCATCACTCAATCACATTGGGCATTATTCTATGTGAGAATTCAGAGAAATTAAACAAACTGTAGGAGACCGTTTTATTCCTATGAAATTGTCAAATACACGGGAATTCATTCAAGCCCTAATTTTATTCCAATGGAATTCCTGTTAAATTACTGAATGAAATTTCGTTCCCCGAAGAGAATGCTCTTTGTTCAGCGCTTTCAGTATGCTGGGGCCGTGAGTTTCAATTTCCGTTTTCTTCATTGTGTTCCGTCCGCAAGGAATGACCCATTAACGTCCGATGCATTCCTCTTCTCTTCACTCGTGTCTGATTTCTTCCCTCTGCAAGCCCATGTATCTCCTTGCATAATGGTTGAAACTCTAGTTTGTTCCTCTAGTTATTTTGAAAGTAATTGTTACATTTATAATCAAACCAAACCACACCCTTAATACCGTTATCAAAATCTATTAAAAAACTAGAATACTATTTATTCTTCATATGAGTTTAATAAATTGTACTGTAATTTCGTAACACCAGGTATTTAGATGATTAATTTAATTTATTTCGTTACCTTATAATCTAGCCACTAATAAAATATTATTATTATCATTCTTCTTCTTCTTCTTCTTCTTCTTCTTCTTATTATTATTATTATTATTATTATTATTATTATTATTATTATTATTATTATTAATATAACTTAGAGCTGATTATTTTTACTTCTATAGTTCATGTTGCCCAGAGTGTGACGTAAAAACTTATTTTCGGGTCCCTAATACTGAAAGTTGTGTTTTGTTCGAGGCGCTCCCTGTGGATTGGGTAACTCAATTGCGCCATATTTCTACGTTTATTACCTCAATATTACCTCACTTTGGTATAATTTCTCTAAAATAGGTACTTTTAGTATACTTAAATTATATTCTTCTGATTCAACATGTTTTTATTGAAGCTTTGTGACGTACATCTCAAGGATATTTCTTGACTTTGTTTTCAATTTCGTGAGACTCTTATATCCTCTCCTTACATTAATGCTTAAAAAACGCAAAAAACTTGGATTCGAATAATCATTTATATTTTAATTGGGTTTTAATTTTGGGTGGAGTGATGTACACAAACGTTTGCTACTATTATAATTCTTCAATTGCGTTGAATTTCACTAATGCCTCGTGTCTTGATCACTGGAAAAAAATCACCATCGTCTGTCATGATCACTGTACATTTTTCCGTTTCTTTATTAGCTCCTATCTCATCTCTGAAATATCAATCACTTTACTCGAGACTGTAATATGCATGGACATTGGACTGGATCAACCTTTCCTTGATCCTCGCTTCTCCGATAAATCAGTTCCTAGCCACGTGCATTATCTGACGTAGCATGTGATTGAGTTCTGAACTCAATTGATGAGAATTGCAAACTGGCATTCGTATGCAAAGCGCAGAGGATGCTAATGAAAATTGTTGCGTAAGCGCCTCTTGGGACGCCTCGAAGACAATAGGCGCCGGACTTCAACGCAGTGGATCCATTCTTCTACGCGTGTGACCTCAATGCAGCGAGGTGTGGAATGTCACCTCTGCCCTTCGGAACGGGCTGGCAATTTAGAGGCCGCCTATATTCCCAGCAGTTCGTAACAAAAGGTAATAAGCATAACATGGAGGAGGGGCAGTTCCCCTTCCCTTAAATAATTTGGATTTTATTTAATTTTTACAATTATGAAAAATATTTAAATACTTATTAACATACGATTTAAAATAAAATGTAACTCGGATAATTGTAAACAAGTGGAAGTTATTAAAAACAAAATTAAATAGTGGTCCGTTTGCGGTACGATTTATGACAATCGATACTGTTCACTTGCAATTCGTTTAATTTATACTTTTCAAGGGAAATGGCTTGTACATGCAGTGGGAAATTAATTCTTAGTATTTTCCTTATAGACCAAAATTTTTCTCTGTTATTAATAATAAAATTTAAAATGCCTTAACAGTTCCTGTGAGTGACAGGCACAAAAGAGAGCAAAATAAACCAATTGGTTATTATAAAAAAACTGTTGTCCACCCATTTGGTTCTATCATTTTTAATTATTTTTGCGAACTGTTAAATAAATGTCCAACTTAAATGCGGACCACCGGGTCGGGAAAATGTACTATATTGATGACGGACATTTTTTGTTAAGGGATATGTTTGAAAAATCAGTTCTTTAAAACAGGTTATGTTTAATTTTATTAATATGAAGAATTGAGCGTAATTTTGCCAATTTTCGAAATAAATTTGAATTTCCCGCACTTCTTTTGTAGTATTTTTCATAATCATAAGGCGTTAGTTATTTAGGAGTTAACTTATTAAATTAATTTAATTATTTTTTTAGTTATAAAGTTAACTATCAGTAATTATTTAAGATAATCTTTCTTGTGGCGTTGATATACAATACTTCGACCTAGAAATTTGAGAAGTTATTCGGAGAATTTCATTGTTGGACGGTGACATGAATGGGTTACTAGTAGGGTAAAGTGGCTTAATTTATTGCACGGTAATATTTCGATGTCACTGCGTTCAGTAAATGGTCCTCAAGTCTAAACGAAGCCTCTGAGCTAAATTAAAAATCGCCTGTTTCTTCCCCCAAGATGACACCTTTCTCCACTAGATGGTGATAGGTGCGTAGCGAAATTTGCGACGTCAGACGACAGAGCGGGCTTGATGGTCTGAGTCTCACCATGTAAAGTAAGGCATTAACTAACTAACTAACCAACCGTTCCCAATATTTCGAGAAGGTATGTGCTGTTGTAGCCCATCTATTTTGCGTTTTATTCCTTCCTAATGTAACTTATTTTTAAAATAATTGTTAACTTTTGTAAGATTTTAAAATATTCTATCATGTCTAGAATAATTTAGCAGCAAAAATAAGCTTGAACGTTTTAATTTTAGACGTTTTAATATTCCGTAATGTTTCAGGTAATTTAAGTACTTGCCCGTATTTTCGAAAATGTATGGCAGGTTATTGTTAAACCGTCTTGTCGCTTCAATATCCACCGCCTCCTTAAATTAAATAAGAGAATTCGATCTAGCGTAGAAGATTATTGCAAACATAGAACTTTCTTGGATATTTCCATGAACGAAGGCAGTCGGGCATGTTCATGTATTCAGCATTCCAATGAAGGCAACATGTCTTAAATGTTTTGAAATTAAGAAAACAGATAATCATATCGTAACCGAACGCTCCTTTTCAGAAGAATATTTTTCTCAACAGTGAGTCTACAAATTTGCATTTCATTCAAGGAAACTGAAACAACTGATGGCGAAACTTTGCGCGAGAAGTGCCTCTAACACACTAGGTTTACATCGGTAGGATGTGGGTCGCACTCGTTCTTACGTCATGGGCATGGTAATTATTTATACAAATATTCTATCCTCTAATGTCTTATCACTGACCACTCTGCTGGAATGAAAGTCAATCAACAAATTGCCAAGTTCGATAAAGTCTTATATCGCAGAATGGGTTTGTCAGGAATAATTTACTAAACTAAGATCTACTTATTGAAGCCATTTTCCATTACAATACGAAATTAGCTCTCATGTTTTACTGCACCCTTTATTGGGACTAAAGTGATGTTTTTTATGAACTTCGTATTGATTTCTTCCTCACTCTGCTTAGGAAATATTTCGTCATTTCATAGCTTCTTGAATAGATTTTGATAGCAATAATTGTTGCTATCATTTTCTTTTTCGCATACCAATAAATCACACCGTTGCGTTTGATCTTTCCGGACGAGCTCGGAAATTACCCTCTTATTGTAAGACTATCAGCCAAATATTTCGGCCGTAATAACTGGAGCCCCTTACGGGTGATAGATGTTATTCTGGCACATGACTCAGAATATGTTTTTAAGAGTAGTATTAAGAGAGAGAGAGAGAGTAGATATTTCACATTTGATTGATGTAAATAAAGAAAACATTAGCACAAGAGACACTTTTTCTAAAAAGATATCGATCTCTGTTTGTATATAATGTACTGGTACCATGCATACACATTCATAAAATGAACAGAAACGTGTAAATACATATGTTCAGACAAATTACATCCCGCTAACACAGGTTAGCTGCCTCCTTCGGACCAATACCTTGTCGATGTCTTAATCAATATTCTCTATTAGCCGCGCCTACAGAGCCATCGCAATGCTGTCGGCGATTGTTCTCCGACGGAGGTCGTGAGTACGGGATTTCCCGGGAGTACGAGGTTCGAGGAACGATGTGTAAACAAGTGGACGTGTGCAGTCGGTACTGCTCACGATCACTAATAAGCTCGGATTCTGATGACATGTCACCTTTTTATTCATGCATTCTAATGAGCGAACTCGTAATGAATGTTTATTACAACATATAGGTGATAGAAATGTATAGCTATTGGGTCTTTGTATGGTTATTGGGTATTTTATGCCCTTTTACAATTTTAGATCCCGGTTTTACCTTTCCAAAGTTTTGCCATTTAACGTATTTTGTTTCCTTTTCGGGTATTTTGTTAGTGAATGTTTCATGAATTTACAATGACACACTTAATTTTTTTTCATCAATTTATGAAGAAATTTACAACAGCAGTTGACTCTGTTTTCGAACTCTCAAAATTATACGGATATTCAGTACCTTCCTCGACCTTTCAAAACTGGCAGTTGGAAGATCGGAGCTAAGAATTACATTTCCTCCTAAAATAAAGACTTTATATTAAATATACATTTATATAAATCAATTTTAATTTAAGTTGTAAATTCGTTGAACTCCAAATAATACAAATTGTTTAAAAAGTAGGTCATTTTCCCATTATTTTTAAGTCATTTGATAGACCATTTTCTTCTCATGTTTAAGTAATTTTAGAGATAATTTTCAAAGAATATTTAGGTCATCACAATCCGAGCTCTGATCATCAGTCCTCAGATAGTCCCCGCCACCTCGTGACCGTTCGTCGCGCGGCCTACCATTTTCTGCCTACGATGCACTTCCACGCATCAAAAGTTTACTGCTTCCTTCCTGACGGGGAACGGAAGCTATTTCGTAAGTTTCAGGAAATCTGAGCTGTAAAGCAGCAAGCAGACTCATTGATGGAATACAAAGAAGGTGACGTGTGTAGGGACATCGCAATTGTCGCTGACACAAGGGAAGGGAACTTTTGGTGCCTCTCCTCTTTCCTTCTGCCCTCTCTCTCTTTGCACACATGCACTTATCTAATAATTGGTCATGCTTGTAAACGTTTTATTAATACATAATGTTCTGGTAAATTGCACATTGTCACTCCAATTCAAGATCTTTTTTCTGTTCGCTTGGCATGATTCCTATGTTTCGTAAAAAGATCGAGATAGATACTGTTCCTGAAGCCACTAAAAAAGAGGAAGATTACTTTCAAAGTTTCAGAGGTGGAAACTGACAGATAAGAATCTGTGCATTTTATGATACAATGAGTGTTGGAGAGGTTATAATGTCGATAATACTATTGCGGATTTGGATCGTTTTTCCTAAGGAAAATGTACTGTAAATCATTTAGCTTATCTGCTTGAAGAAGAACCATTTACGTCAGTGCAGGGCCATTTCCTTTTGAAGTGTAATTGTAGGCAGGTAAAAAGGCGACACAAACGGAAGAGGGCACTAAAATACCGGCCTTGCGTTTGGAAGAGTTGATTTATGGTGGTGCGGGCGAAGGCCATTACAGTGGTAATAAATGATGCTGTGGAAGGAAATAGTGGTGTCACTGTCATAAAGGAAACAAATTGCAATTGTTTATGATGAGACGTCGTAGAAAAATTGTCTTGAAGTCCAAAGTGGTCCAAAGTGGCCATCTCACCACTAGGCACCCTTAACGTCAAGTATGATTATACGGTGTGGTAAATTCGAAGAATTATGAAATACACCATTTGTAGTTCTATGGACTCGTCACCCCTTTTCTCCACATAGACGCTCATCACATTCTTGAGTGGATTGAACGGATTTTGAATACTTTCAGAGTATCCTTCACTTATTGAATTTCAAGTACGGAAAACATTTCATGGGAATTTATTATTATTATTATTATTATTATTATTATTATTATTATTTATTACAGTTATTTATACAGTAAAGACAACATTACATGACATTACTACGAGGAAGATGACATGCGTCGGTGATACACAAAAATTTACTTCATTTTCCTTTCAGAAATAGGTTTTCGTTAGTCCTGATAAACGTTTACAATGCTTCCCACAGCAGATGTACAGTTTTTATTTTAAAAAATCCTTCAATTCAATTTCGTGTTTCCAGTCGGTGCTATTATCGACCTACAATCATGTTTTTATTATGACCCAACTGAAATGTAGGTATTTTTTGATCGCATGTGTAGAATGCTAAGTCATTGGCATTGGAAACGAGTCACGCCCTTGAGATTTAATTCAACTGAAGATATCTGCGATTGGTTATTTTGTACGTCACATATTTAATGCGGGGCGTTCAAAGCACGAAGTTTCGACTACTTAGTGACATGTGTGATTAGTGGGTATTAACTTGCTATACAGTTCGTAGTATGTTTAACTGTAGTTACGGGTCGAGGTGTATTCGATACACTTAAAGCTGGGCATACAAACTAATAAAGATACGAATAGTCTAGAAAGGCTATTTGTTTCGCCAAAATTTCACGTATTCAGATAAAACAATCGATTCAGAATGCTCTCCATAAAAACGGCATCTACTGACATAGTTAAGAGCGAACTTTCGCATCGGGTTTTCGCAAACCCTGGTTGGAGCTCCTGGAATGAAAGTTTCAGTCTTGGTTCTTCCCCTTCGCAGACACTTTTGCGGCTGTTCGTTAATGACATTGACGTTTTCAAATAATTTTAAAACCTCGCCATGATATTTCACTCACAGTTGCTTTTCATTTCTTCATGGCACGACCTTTTGCGGTGGGTGATAAAATGTCTGTATTTCCGGAGGAATGTATGGTATTCAAGATTTTGTAGTGAATATCTGTACTAAAAAAATATAAAATGTAGTACGCTGGTATTGAGAAAAAACTACAAAGTACAAATAGCGTGTATTGTTGTCACAATAATAATTTACATTCGACAGCAAAAGTTCCATTTTTTGCCTCTGCTTGGGGAATTTTGTTGGTGACAATGACCATGACTGTGATATTATTATTATTATTATTATTATTATTATTATTATTATTATTAATATTATTATTATTATTATTATTATTATTATTATTGCTGTTATTAGAAAACTGCATGATATTGAAGGAAACGATTCAATTGAGATTTATCTGCTTTTAAATTGTAAACAGAAGTACAGGGAAGATCCTTCAGCGTACAGATTACGAATAAAAATTCGAATGATCACTTTCACAAAAGACTTTCCTGTCTGATTTACAAAAATCTCACAAGATGTAACACAGCTTGTACAATTTGTAGAACTGTTACGTAGTGCCATTTAAAAATAATCTCTGAATCGATAGTAGTAGATGTGAATCGCTTCCAAACTTGAAGATGAGAGAAAAAAATTATGGACAAAAATGCAAGGTAGAGAATTTTTGTATTGTTGTTATTATCTATAAAATTAACAATAAACAATTCATTCTTAATTTGTTTGCAGAACCGGAACGTATTAACCAAATTCACACCAAACCTCGAAGGCCGATAAAACGAGGGTGTGTTTAAGAACATACGTGTTTGGAGGTTCTTCATTGAATGATTTATGATTGTCATCCAATTAACCATGCCTGATTCATGGTAGGGAAAGCCAATCTTCTGTTCGGGAGGCGTAAAAAGACAAAACAGGGGCTCCTCAATTTCCGTGACATACTACGTATTGCGATGTCCTTCTGGCCCTTTTGCAAGCGCGGTTTAACTACAACGGTTAACCGCTTGCGGTTGTCGAGAGTGTTTGGAGGACGTGGAAAGACTATCCTCGCCCAAACAGCTCGACCGCCCAACCTCCGCGGCTGCGAGGGCGGCGCCGTGCACTCCTGGCTAGCGGGCCGGTTTTACAATGGGGTGCCCCTTTGACAGAGGGTTCAACCGCGACTGAACCGCTCCTACTGGCCAGCCGCAGCGATTAAACAGTAAAAACTAAGTAGCTCTTCGAGTTCGGTCAGAATGGACCCGTGTTAGGCCGAAGAAAAGGTGGAGCCCGAACCGCCGACTCATTCTGTCGAACGGTAGTGGTCACCTCGCATTTCAGTGCCAGACGTTCGTTTTCATGTCATGTAATGGAAGCGTACAGATTAAAGTAGCTTACTGCGAACTTTGTGTGATACTTGAGAAGTATGATTGTAAAAGAGATTTAACATTCCTGTGGCATGAGAGTGAGACTAAGCCAGCGCGCTATTAAGTGTTTGAAATGTTCCGACGTGTTTGCCCGAACCTGACTTGATTCCCACGCGGATAACTTGTGAACGTGAAGATGGCTCCACACATTCTGCATTTGGCGTCTAGCAAACGACCGTTTGCCAAATTCCGAGTTCTGTGGATGAGTTGCTTGCTATTTGCCGAGCGACGAACATTCGGTGCCCGCACTACTGAGTGCGTATCAGTGCTTTAAACACCTGAAAGGAAGTGAACATTCGCAGAGGACATCAGCCGCTCGGGAATTGGGCGAGCAGCCGCTCGCTATTCGGCGAATGTCGTATGTCTGACGGCTCAGGTGGTTCAGGGCATTGTCTGTCACTGCAGTGCCTTTGACCGGGAGGTCCTAGAATTCGAGTCCCGGCGCAGGCGGACTAGCTAGAGAGCGAGGTCGAATTCAGCCTCAGTGAGGAGGAGAATTCTAGCGGCAGGCTGCCCTGTTTGGTAGTTTTCCGTGGTTTCTTCGATCAAGCGCAGACGATTGCCGGAGTAGCAATCTAACAAACAGGCCACGGACCGCGCGTGATCTTACCTACCTCTTCCTTGCCCTATCCTCTCCCCTTACTCACACATATTTACATTTACATTCGCTACACCGCTACATATATCGGGAGTTCAGTCGGGAGCTTCCAGCTGGGGCAGTGCCCCAATGGCGAGAGACACCTGGTTGGGTAAAAATGCGCTAGGAGGCGTGTACGGCGGCGCCACATCTCATCCTCCAACAGATGAAGATCACCGCCACTCCCCAAAGAAAAAAACAAACATGCTCTGCTCTTAAGTAAGGGACGAAGCAAGGGCCGGAAAGCTGAAAGCGCGAAGTGCGCTGGGAGCGCGTAGCGGGAGGCTCACCTGAGCGCGCGGCGTCCTTGCGCAGCTGCCGCAGGCCGTGCAGCGCGGCGGCGCCGAAGAAGAGCGCGCAGCCGGCGGACGGCGGCGACGGGGCGACGGCCGGCGCCTGCCAGTCCACGCGAACACCTCCCGCCCGCGGAGAAGGGTTTCTCGGCCGGCCGCGGCGGCGGCCAGGCGCCCCCCGCGCTGCCGGGGCGCCTGGCCTCGGCCGACGGCGACGGCTTCGGCGGCGCCCGCCCCCGCTCCCCCGCAAGCTGCGCCGCCGACTCGGCGCGTGCCGCGGCCTTCTGGCGGTGCAGTGGTGCAGGTGGTGGTGCGGGTGGTGGCCGCTGTGGTGCTTGTGGTGTGGTCCGTGTTTGTGGTGCAACACGTAAATCCCGAGAGAGCTTCGCGCGGTGGGGTTGAAGCTCTCCGCTCCCGCCGCGCTGCCGCTGCTTGTGGAGGGAAGAGAGAGAAAGAGAAGTGCGTGCGAGAACTTGCGTTGCGTTGGGTCTGGTTGTTGGGATAATGCTGAGCATGGGAGGCCTTTAATCTCGTGTGCTTAGCTGGCGTCGTCGTATCAGCTGAATGGAAAATAAAAATTCGGCTAACATTTATTCGACCACCACCAAATTAGCCTCACAACGCATCAAAAATTGTTCACATGAAACTTTCAATGGGAAAGTTCCGTCAGAAAGGTGGTCGGCACAACCATTACCGAAGGTTAACTTCAGGTCTGCGCATATTGAAATGCAGGAATAATGTCTGGTTCTGCTTCTTGTAGTATCTCTTCAAATACCTTTTCAATTATTAAGCGCTATAGATAACGTTTTACTTCATATGACGTATTTATTAGCAGTAATTTCTTATCCATTTTTTGAAAATAAATTGTTAAATTTGGAAAATGTATTCTGCATCTAGAGCAGGGTTATCTCACATTCTGACACTTCTGTTTTTTTAGTTTTGTAATGTAAAACAGTGACTTCACTAAAGGGCATTAAATAGATTTTTTTTCAGAAAAATGAGGACTATTTCCACTCATGAAATTAGCTTAATAGTGTTATCAATAGATTTGATTATATGCAATGAAAGGAGCTCTATCTTTATAAGAAATATTAATTTTTCCTTATCCTTTATTCTTGCCACCTCACTACCGGGCCAACGTAAAAGTGACAATACAAAATTGATACGAGGTGTGTGCATTGAAAGTTTGAATTTTTCAACATATTTTAAGGGCCTAGGACAGTTAAGAAGATAAAGCTCACAGCCATATAAAGCCTCCAGCTATACGTAAAATATAAATATTTTGATTTTCGTTCAAGAGTGTCCATCTTGATATTGCGCAAGCTCTTTATAAAAGTGAACAAGAGACGTAGCCACAAGATATCTTATTTTCATCAAAATGTTAGATATTAACATATACGAATAGCGGGGGAATTTACGTTTGGTGTGGGATTATTCTCTGTGCTGCTGCTAGCTTCATTTAATATTTGGTTGGCATTCTAGCAGCTCTCTTAGACGGTAATTTCCTTCTTGGAACAGTCTTATTAAAACCGCACTCGAAAATTGCAGAATTCCCCGGTTAACTTTCCTCGTTAAAGTTACCAACTGAAATGCAAAGTTATACACGCGGTATAACGCTCCGAAAACTCATTCAATTTGGGAGGAAAGTTCACGGTTAGAAAATAGAAACTTTGGGTCCGTGGTGTGAAGGGTAAAGTCTTTGAAAAGGTTCGCAGAACAGCAGCATTCGTGTCGTAGGAGTACGATGTATCCTGTGGCACGCACGTTTCCGGTGGTGCAGTAGCGTGCGTTAGTGTGGGCTGACGTATCTCGGGCGGAGCGGGGGTTACTTGTTCGCGTGATGCCAGTGCTTGTGGGCGCGGCGGGAGGCCGTTCGTCTGCCCGGTGGGCGGACCCAACGTTGCCGTCGGCAACACCCGCTCGCCCCGACGCGACGGCGAACGACGACACGAGACGACGACGTAGAACGACGAGGAGGGAGGAGGTGGACGAGGACCGAAGCGCCCGCCCCCTTGCGCGCGGTGCTTGCGGTCACGTGGCCTGGCGCGCGGCGCGGGCCGTGGGCGGGGCGGCCGGCGGGGCGCGGGGGGCGCGGGGCTGGACCGCAGTCGGGTCCCAGCCGCGCGCGCGCCCACGCCCGCTCACACTCGTGGCGGTTCATGCGGCCCGGCACAGCGTGTCCCTGGTGCAGTTGGCACGGCCGCTAGCACGATGTGGCCCGGCGTCCGGGCAGGACGGAGCAGTCCGCGGGCAGCGGCCCAGCGCCTCGTCGAAGAACTGGCGGCCGGGCGGGCAGAAGGCGGCGGCGCGCGGCGGCGGCGGCGCCAGCGCCAGCGCCACCAGCGCCAGCCACAGCGCTCGCGCCCGCGCCCGCACCTGCTCCACGACAAGAGAGACGGTCTCTTAAAACGCCTGACAGAGCACAAGGGAGACCTTTTTTTTAAAAAATGCCAGGCAGAGCACAAGAGAGATTATTTTAAAAGCCAAAGCACAGGCGATACTTTTTAAAAGCTAGACAGAGTGTAAAAGAGGTTTTTTTTAAAAGCCTGGCAGAGCGCAAGGGAGACATTTTAAAAGCCAAAGCACAAGAGATTTTTTTAAAAGCCAACAAGGCACAAGGTATTTTTTTTAAGGAGTGAGATTTATAGAGAGTTGGTCTACTGATCACAATCACGCCCACGCCACCATCTGATATGGTACAAGGAAGATTTTTTTGAAGGCTGGCAGGGCACAAGAGAGTTTATCTTAAAGGAAAGAGATTATAGAAAACCAGTGAACTTATCTCAAGCACGTACATGCCAGCAACTGACACAAGACAAGGGAGACTTTCTGTTAGAACGTCAGGTAGAGCACAAGAGAGATTTTTTAAGAGCATGGCAGGGTGCAAGAAATTTTTTTAAAGAAAGAAGTGAGTCTTATAGAAACCCAGAATACTGATCACAACCACGCCCACGCCAGCATCTGATATGGTACAAGAAAGATTTTTTTAAGGCTAGCAGGGCACAAGAACACTTTTTTTTAAGGAGTGCGGACACAAGTGTACTTATCGCAGCGGATCTGCACGACTTAAATAATATTTATTGACCAAGGGCGTTCTAAAGAATCTTATGATCGAGAACCTTTGGTCCGAAGGTTTTTATCGCCCGAAATTATTAGAACCGCTTAACTCACATGTTGCATACATTTATTTTTTATTTTTTACCAGATATTTATGATTTAGTTACACTTACATTACTAACTAACTAGATGTTGTCTACTTTTATTTTGGATTGTCTACTCTTATTTCCCTCTCGTAATTCCCTTTAATAGCTCCCTCAGTAAGTAAACGTAGCATCATTCCACTTCCCCCGTAACCACAGTCCCCTCAGTGCAGGTAAGGTATGCAGTGTACATTGAGTTCCGTATCCAAGGCAATAAGAAGCAATAACATATCAGGAAAAAGTAAACCCCTTTTGTAGTTTCTCCTTCTCAATTTTTATTACGTCATTCCGTAAATTGGGTTTCATTAATCTTTAGTCGTGTGATGTAAAGAAAATATTTCTTTTGTTTCGTGAAGTGAGGAGGACATGGATAGTGTAAATGCCCATCACCCCTCTCTTTACACCAATCCCATACTGCCGCTTGCAATAACGAGTACTCAGATAATGATCATAAATCAACTAAACACACAGGTGTGCGTTAGTGCGCTTTAGAAATGTTGTACAAACATTCTTGAACACTTGTAAAATTACGTTTTTCTAAATAAGGAGATTCTGTAGAGATTTCACTCGCAGAAAGAGACTATAGGCCGATAGAGAAAGACTATAGGCCGAAAGAGACTATAGTCGACATAATTACAGAATAAGGGAATACTTCAGCAATAAATGATCACTTTTAGATGCTTATATTGGCTAGTCATTCCTCATGAAGGCGGAACGAGTGCTTTTTTAAGTTATTGGAAACATGGCAACGTGTGATCAAGCTGTTTCGTGGTTGAGTGTGCACGGATTGTAATTCATGCGATTCTCTTGTGTTTCTGTTGTCCTATTTCGTAATGAGGATGATTTATATGTGTTTAGAAATCAAAATATTCTAGAAATCATCATCGTTGTTTTGCATTTTGGAAGTGAGCGCCGCGTAGGGAATTCCGAAGGCGTAGTCACTGCTTGCCCCTTATTTGAGAGCTGTTAGTGAATAAGGATTAGTCACTTAAGAAACACTCACTTCATATGACCACTAAATGAAGCTTCTTCTTCTTGTTTGTTATATCTCATCCTCTTTACGGTTGTTGTTATTTTGCTAAAATAGTAATTTCCCTCCATGATTCTTAACACATCTCCAAAAGTATTGTCATTTTTTAAATCTCAATAACTTTTGCTCATTGATAGGGAAAATAATTAAGTTAACCAGCACATTTGAAGAAGTAACACTTTTTTACAGGTAAATAACTTTCTACTCGAATACGTATCAGCAATTCTTTATATTCCCAGACATTCTTTTCATTTGATTTTATTTCATATCATTCTCACATTTGATTTTTAAGACGATCTTACTTATTCATTTATACTTACAGCACTATTTGAAAAAAAGTAGCGTGCAACCATTATTAACATCGGAAACAATGCTTTTGTCTGGACAGTGTTGTACCACGGAAAGCGAATTCTATAGTAACGTAGTCAGTTTGTAATTTGGATAATTTTTAATTTAAGATGACCAGTAAGTTTAGGAAATGCAGTGTCTCGAGCACCCCGCCTCCCTACGGCGACGAGAGCAGCAGCGACGACGATCCGTGCCGCGTGATTCGCGGCGCATTCCTGCCATGGTGGTGCCGCAACCCCGCCATCAGCAAAGTCGCCGGGGCGTCCAACTGCTTCCCGTCGATGCGGTTCAGCGACGGTTACTCCGTGCAAAACCAGAAGTACGTGCGTGCGAGCGCGGCGTCGCCGCCGCGCCGGAGGGGCCGCGGGGCCAAGGCGGCGCCCAATCACCGCTCTGTCTCGGCCCATCTCTTCCCGCTACGTCTCGCCCGTCCACCCCGATCTCGCCTTCGTCCCCGTTCTGTCCCGCCCAATTCACACCTGAACCAGTCCCGACTTCGTCAGCTCATTCGCTGACTTGCCGCTC